CCCAAAACCCGCATTTAACAATTCTTGTTTTTTTCTTGAGGACAATAAGTATTGATGATAGCTAGGATGGGAGAAGACTTTAAAAGGAATCCTTAATGTCTAATTGAAATTTTATGAGATAGGTGCAGTCTGCTCCTTTTGGCCAAACCTCTGACAGTGCTGTATATCCTAATGCATAAAGTTATTTTATAGCTTGATTAATACAAATAAAAAATTAAAAGTAATGTATAGCACCTTAAGGCTCATCTCATTCAGTCCCACCTTGACAATTTGAGACTTTCTAGGGAGGAGACAGCAGGCAGCGTACACACTTATTCATCCATAGACCCTGGAGCAAGAAAATTTGGAGAAGAGGTTATCACCCAGAGTAGCTTTTTTTCCCTACCCAAAATCTGCAAGTTAGAAGGGCCCTAGATATCATCTAACTCAACTTCACTTGGTTCTGTAGAGAATGAGGCTTATAGAGGACGTAAATAACCCGAAGTCCCCTGACACTAGGGCCAGCTTCCTCTGTACAGGGAACAGCCTGCTGAATGTCTTACTGCAGTGTTTTATTGCAGAAGCTGATGAAACTTAAGGACCTCACAGTTGCACAGAAGCAATCTATTTTGAAGCATATGCAAAAGTGTTTGCCTTTGATTTGCCATGAAGCCTGGAAAATGCCACAGCCCAGAGAGTGTTGGCCAGAGAGCACACAAATGTGACTGAGGGCCAAACACTGAGGTAGCTTTTGGGAAGGAATGCAAACTCAGAGTGAGTTGGTAGTTAAGGGGTTACCGAGCAGGGCATAGAATTGTGCCTTGAGTGACAATTTCTTAAATCTTTTTTTTTCCCAGTACCGGGAACCAAACTTACAACCTTGTGCTTGCCAGGCAGGTGTTGTGCCACTGAGCTAAATCCCCAGCCCCAACAATTTCTTAAATCTTGTTTGAAATTAGTTTTAGAAACTACTGGATAGTTAATGCTACTGAGTTTCAATTACTTTAATCAAACAATATGTTAAAAAAAAAAAAAAACATTTGTGCAAGTTAAATGAATATATACTATGTTGTACCTTACTGTTGATAAGTGTAAGTCAGCAGGTGATAGTTACAAATCCGTGGGGGGGGGCGTACTGTTTAAGTATCTACCCCAGGGATATCCTCCTCTGTGATGCCTTTTCCAGATAGATTAGGTTAGTGGTTCCCAACAGGATGATTTTTATCCCCCAGAGGTATTAGGCAGTGTCTGGAGATACGGCTTGTCACAACTCTCAAGGGCCTGGGGAGGATGCTCCAGAGGGTAGATGCTGCTAAACACCCTGCCATGCATAGGCCACCCCCACTCCAAAAACAGATTTGACCCCAAATGTCCGTCATACTGGACGTAGATTCCTAGATCATGCTAAGAAATGGATATGCTTGAGAAAAAAGTGGAAAACCCATTGGATTACTTTGTCACTGGCAAACATCCTCTGCAACACTGCAGCAGGAGGACAGCGTGTCTTTGTCTGGGGTGAAGCTGCTTATTGCTGCAACCAGGTGGCTGTGGTATGAAGACACTGGCTCTCCTTCGCTGTATCAGGCAGGAGCAGCAAAGGGACATTTGTCTTTCATCACCTGTCACAGTTCTTAGCAGAGATGAAAACATTGGTAGATTTGCCTTCATATGAAACAAGTGTTCCTAAAAAGTCATGTGGTAAGTCATACAATCACAAAACTCAGTAAACACTTGTGAGCTAGTAAACCTTTTTCATGTGAAAATCCCTTTCAGTAAAGCCCTATTCTCAAACAGGAGTACACCTGTATATATTGCATTTTTAAATATAAATACTTTGTTTTTCCTGTACATTACATTTTTATTACAGAGTTCTATTAATTTTATGTAAAGAGAACAGTTTCTCCTTCCTTTTCCTGCTCTTATTCTTTTCCTTTAAAAAGAAATTCGAGGTGAGGGGGAGGGATTAACTATAGACTTTTTGAATTTGGGAAGGTCATTGATCAATCTGTCCATATGACAGTTGGAAAGATGTCTTCTGGGTTATAAATTGTGAGAAAATAAGACTTGGCTCTATTTTGAAATCATTAATTTTTGCTTTATCTCATACTTTTTTTCAGTTACTGACCTTTGGCTAGAAAGAGCAGGTGCACTGGTCCCTCCATCACCCTATGGGTGTTTGTAACCCTAGAAATAGCCGATAAGACTCGAACTTCTTCACTCACAGGGGCATGGTATCAGCAGAGATAAGGGAGTGGCACTGGAGGGACGGACACAATGTGGCTTTTCCTTATCAGTCAGTGCCCTAGGGCAACATCCCTGGGTGTATAAATCTCAGACTAACACAGCAGGGCAAAGGGGGCAGAGAGAAGGAAATTTATTTGATAAAGCTACCATTAGTGTCACTTTACTGATAGAAGGTTACAGAGGTGTGACCTGGGGGGACAAAGCCACTGCCACGGAGGGTGCTGGGGTAGGCTGGCTTAAGCTAGAGGCACTAGGAAACCTGCATCTGACCTTCATCTCCACTGGCGGGAGAGAGGAGGCAGCAAAGAGGCCCAGTACAGCACTAGTGTCAAGGAGCAGGGGGGCTGGCGTCCCCTGGAGGGGTGGTGTCACGCCATTTGCATGGTCCTCTCACCAGTGTTTGCTCATCTTAGCCTCACAGCGACCCGGTGAGTAGGAAGGGGGTCATCATGAACAGCATGTTACAGATGAGGAAACCAAAGCACCAAGAAGGTAGTAAGTTACCCAGAATCACTCAGCCACAGAGAGATTTGTAATTTAACACAGGTGCTCTGACACAAAATGCTGTTTTCGGGCACAGCGGTGCATGCGCTCGCTCAGACACCTGGCAGCATCCGCTCAGGGAAAGCCTTGGCTGGCCTGCCAGGAGCCAGTTCCACTGACAACGCTCTTCACCTCTTTTTGCCCCTGGGAGACAATCACTAGCCCTTTTAGAATCTCTTTTCTAATCTGTGAAATGGGAGGGATGCATTCTCTAGGTCACCTCTGTGATGTAGATGAAGCCAGACTACAGCGAAGCCTCCCAGAAAGGCAGCAGGCAGCCTCAGGGCACACTGGAGGGAGCCGTGCCCACTTGCCTGTGCCTGAAATTATACCAGACGCTTTACCCGTGATCTCATCTGCAGCAGCAAGCACCCCTGAGGTGGGTGCTGATGTTGTCTCCACTGAGCAGATGAAGAAACTAATGTTCAGAAGGTGAAGTAACTCGCTCAAGGGCATTGTTTTGTCTGCTCAGCGTGCCTACCAAAAGCACAGACTTGGTGACTTAACCACAGAAATGGACTTCTTACAGCTCTGGAGACGAAATTTCAGACCAGCATGCCAGCAGGATTGATTTCCCATGAGGCTTGTCTTGCTGGTGGCCTTTCCTCCGAAGCATGGGACAAAAAAACTGAGAGCACGCTCTGGGTTATGTCCTCTCAGGACACTATGCCAATCAGATCAGGGCCCCAACCCTGATGATGTCATTTACCCTAGTACCAAACAAATGCTCTACTTCCAATTATAGTGAGCTTTACCTGCACATATGAACTTCAGGAGCACACAGTCAGTCCATAGCAACAGCCAGCCTGGAAGCAACCTGAAGCTCCTTGCCTGCTCTCCTAACCACTGCTGCCTCTCCCCGGGTCCTGGGAGTGGGGACTGCTAGGGTCAGTGGAGTCCTCGTCTGCTGCTCTCTCGGTGGGACCTACACCTAGCATCGCTCCTGCCTAATCACTGCCTGCTCTCCAGGGCACGAGGTGCAAGGGACAATCCCCCTTTGACCAATGCCTGGGGACCCTGCCAGGGCTGAGTTGGTGGCAGGGTAGGAAATAGAACCCCTAGGACATCCTGAGCCCAGGCCTAACTATAACTAGAGGTACTGTGAGGAAAACCACAGAAGCCCCAGACTATGGCTGGGGATATAGCTCAGCTGCGAGGCGCCTGCCTGGCAAGCGTGAGATCCTGAGTTAGATTCCTGGTTCCAAAAAATAACCTGAGGCTACCCCTGAGGAGTGCTTCCTTGCCATCCTTCTTTCAACCCAGTCCAGTGCTGGATGCTCCCTGGATGCTGCTAGCTGGACAGAGTCATGTAGGCTCGAAAACAGGATCAAAGTCGCTTCTCACTCGTGTGGAAGGATGAGAATTCAGCCCTCATCAGCAAGCCACTCACTGGAGCAGCTACATTTGAGCTTGTCAGTTAGTCATCATTAAAAACTGTGCAGTAAAAACAAGCTATTCAGAGTCCTGAGCAGGCTTCCACTAGGCCGAACAACAAGCTAGTCATCCACCTGGAATGTCTCCTCTCCATAAATTACAATATCTGCCGTATCAGTGGAAGGGGAAAAAAACTTTTCTTCCTCACTCTCCCGTGCTTTCTTGTTCTTACTTAGGTTACAAAGGTAGGCTCATAAAAGTGGGAAGCTTTTCCTAATTTTTAAAAAACTCACAGAGTAATAGACCCCAGGATATCTTTCAGAGAATGAAAATGTGTCCTTTTACCTTCTCAAACTGTCAAATAAAGACCATGAGTTAACAGGGCCACTCAGCTCACGTTACCTGAAGAAGAAAGCGGGGTGCTCAGAGACATGGCGCTGGGCTTGCCACTGGTGTGCTGGGGATTTGCTTCTGGCTGGCGGGACCGTTCCGCGTTTCCCGTCGCTTCTCCCAGTTGCTGTCCTCCCTCTTTCTCAACGGCGGGGAGGCTGACACACAAAACTTGCAGCGCTGCCTGCCGTTCGTGCAATCACAGAGGTCTAGCTAGCTGCTGACTCCCCTCCTCTCAGAAGCCATATGCCTCTCCCCAGCCTCCTTCCAATCATGAGAAAAAGGTTTTTCAAGTGAAATTCAGCCTTCAGTGTTTGGCCAAAGGAAACATTCCGTTATCCAGCATCACTCCCTTCCCACGGGCAGGGATGTCTGGATCACCTGGTGCCTTAGCTGTGCTTGGGCCCCGACCTCATGTAGGTGTGCTGTTCTTCACTCGTGCTCATCAACTCCATGGTTGGCTTTTGCAGGTGTGAGAGCTGTGGAGCCGTCTTCCATGCTGAATGCAAAGAAAAGTCTGTTCCCTGCCCGCGTTGCGTCCGGAGAGAGCTGCAGAAGAAGCAGAAGTCCTTCTGGCGGCGGCTGAATGTGGACGAGAGCCTGGAGGAGGCGTGCACCATGTTTGAGCTGTCCTACCAGAACACCTGAGTGCCAGGCCACGCTGGCACGTGCCCCATAGTGACCCAAGACCGAGTGGCTCCCAGGTAGCCACACGCACCTAAGAAGAAGGGTCTGTCTCCTCTTCCACTAGATGTAGCTGTCTACATTTATTTACCTACATGTGTACACACCTATACGTCCTGTACGTATGTTCTGTGCAAATCGTTGTCTAACAAGGCCACAGAGTCTCTGAGGCTGAAAACCTACCCGTGTACTTGACCATGAACTTCAGCTGCTTGCTCCTAGCAACTGTGGTTTACATACAATGCTTTATAGTTCAGAGTTTTTGTTCTGTTTTGTTTTGTTTCATTTTGGCTCTTAAGGGCCATTTTTACACAAAATATAGGAGGAAACATTTCCTGCAGACCAACACTGCTTTGGTTATTTCTGTATTATGTGTTTTTAGCCTTCACAGGGGCTGGGGGAACTGAGGCAGGCACTGTCATCATCTGCTTCATAAGGAAATCTCCAGAACACAGAAACACGCCTGGATCCTTCCAGGCCCCGGTGTCCCTGGCAGAGACCAGGATCTTTGGAGCAGAGGTACAGGGCGGGGAGCCAAGTACACGGCTGTCTCTGACTGAAAGCACCGCCCTGAACTGAGGAGGAGGCTGCTTCTGGTTTTGAGGTTAATCTCAGTTTTCTTCCAAGGAAAGAAGAGGCCTCTGCGACCAATAGCTGCATGTCCTCTGTTTGCTGGTACGAATCCCAACACCTGCCTAACTGCACAGCCTCCGCCACATGTGCCACGCTGCAGATGTGGCTCTCTTAGGAACAGCTTTCCAAGGGCGTCGTGATATCTGTGATATTTTGCATGGTGTTAGCTGGAGAAAATGTCTTAGACGTGGCATTAAAGACCTCAGTGGAGAGACTGGTGGACAAGATGTGTGCATCTTGGAAGAGACCATCTTCAGTTTCCTTGCACAAAGTCCTGTGCAGGCAGTTCCTACCTGGCCATTTTGACTGCTTTATTTCTCAGCATTCTTCCCTGCACTTTCTGTTGGGCTTTTGTCAATTTTACCACTCTTGTGTTACTTTCTGTTTGTTTGTCCGTTTGTTTAAAAAAATCGGAGTACTATTTTGGAAGAAAATCCCAATTTTAAGGTATCAAGAAAATACAAATAGAATTAATGAATTACATCTAATAGTGTTTGAATAAGTAGATATATATAATTGCCACTGTAAAGCTAAAATGAGTACTATCATAGGAATAAGAAATATAACGCACTGCTTTGCTATTTGGCAGGGTCATGTCCTCCTACTGCAGTGTCCTGTAAGAACCAGCATGGCAGGGACCGTGACTGAGGTGCCAGGTAGGACAGCACTGGAAACCTGATCCCTCCCCTTCCTCTACCTTGGCTCTACACAACAGGAGAATATGCTTATAACAAAATAATTCTCAGTAGACTTCAAGAGACGGTCATGGATCTTCCCCACTGAGCAGATGTTGTCCATGTGTTCGTGGTTTAGTCGTCCCATGGCTTTTGGGAGCTGGGGCCGCGGTGGCTCATCGAGGACATGGTGCATTCAGCTCCACACCTTGCTCCCTCCAGAGGCCAGCTCCCCACACTTCTGGCTATTCAAAGACATTTCACAATGGCTTTCCTGCAGTTAGATGTGAGCATTTCACCTCTCAACACTTTGGCCCCAAACCACATGTTTCAACTTAGTAGTTCAGCACCATCCATGCATTTATTTTTTGGTTTTACAGTAGCTGTGATCAAGGCATGAAAGTTGGTGAGAGTCCAGGGCCCTGTTCACGAGATGCCTCGTTGGTGCCTTTTACTCTTAGAAAAAGCAGGTTGACTCGCATTCCCTCCCCCCAATTATTGAGAATGTGCACACAAAAGGAAAGGGGTGGAAAGTGTCTCACACACTTGGCAAACACATTGGATCACCTCCTCTCCTCCTCCCCTTTGTGAAATACAGTATTTATATTTTCCAGCCCCAGAGAAGATAGTAGAACATGATCTTTCACGAGAGAATTATAGACCTGCTTATTATAAAACAGATGTGCTCCCATGGCAAAGTGCCTTCTCCCTCTGCTCCCAGCCCTGTCACTGAGCTTGCTTTGCCTTCGCTGGAATTAATGTATCTGTGATTCCGACCGTCAGCGGAGCTGTTTCTAGCACACTGTGTTTGGAGACCCGAAGTACAAGGCCGTCCCCTCCCTCCTAACATGTTTGCTGTGTACAGAATGTTTTGTCCCAACTCACAGGCATCCAGGATCAGGCCTGCCACGAGTCAAGGGTGACATTCTGGATCCCTGATCTAAACACCTTTGTTTTCACCAGAATCCACTTAGAGGGCCCTGCGAAATATTAGCAGTCCCTGGGAACTCCTAACAGTTTTCCACCCACATCACTTTCTGCTTATTTTCAAAAGGAAAAAAATAAATAAATGCACCAGCACCATCAGCTACCCAGAACTAGAACCGGGTCCCTGCTGCTTCTGTTTTCTATCCTTTCTGTACAACTCTGACAGCCTGGTTCATGCCGGCCACAGGCCTACAACAACATTCTCTACCAACACCGCCAAAATCTGATAGGACAAAGTGGAGCCAGCTTCCAAGCTGAGTCTGCCGTGAAAATTCAAAATTGCTATTTTCAGCCCAGAATGCCTTAGAGCACATGAACACCCTTACTGTTTTCCACCCTAACAAATTACTTGGTGCGATGTTAGGTAATTGTTCCACTGCTTAGAAACTGTAGGAACAAAAGCAAGTCTGTTGATTGCCCCTCCTTCTGACTGAGCTAATACCTGCTTTGCCTCATGTTCCATGGTAAATATCTTTGCACGTAACACACATGAGAAAATGACCAATTAATCTCGTGCGACTGGCAGCTGGGTCCAGGGAGCTGCTTCTCACTCAAAGGCCCATTCCCTGCTGTACACTTGAGGAAATCCCTTCCCAGTGCCAGAAACACGCGTGCAAGCCCGTCCAGCCCTGCTGAAATGTTGGCATCTAACCTGAGGTAAAGAAGCCAGTTCCTAAAATAGACATCAGTGTGCACCGGCGTAGGAGGGCCACAGAGCATTCACAAAGCAGACAACTGCAGTGGGAACGGTGTTCTTTCCGGGGCCGCCTGTTCCGAGCACTGACTGCATCTCTGTAGGAAGACCACATAGATGCTGACTGTTGTGCCCCCATCCCATTTCACCTCCTGTTCAGGGGCCGTGTTGCAGTCATTCTCACGTCTGCAGTGCCGAGGCTTATCCTGTTGGGAGTGTAAGTAAACATTTGATGAGACAAGAGGGTAAGCACTCAGTTATTCTAATGAAGCCAGCACCACACAGAGAGTATGGCTCTAGTACTTGGGACTTGTGTTTTCCAACACAAAGGTACCCTTTAGACTCCTGAAACAGAGCTGTGCTATGACTTCCCTTGGACACCCTAAGGACCAGGGCGTTTCTACTGTCCTGCTTGCTGAGTGCAGGTCTCGCTGATGGCATCTGTGTGTCTCTTGTACACACTGAATGTTGACAACAGACCATTTCTTTTTATGCCTCCTGAGAGAATTTGGTTCAAACCTGCAGGTTTGTCCTCTATCCACTGAGGAGAGGCTGTCCAGCAGTTAATCATCAGGGCGGGACCAGCTTAACACCACACACAGTGAACCCATACTCGGAGACAGGCAGTATCCAGAGAAGTGGAGACACGTTCTGCACATCAGGGTAAAGCTGCCGCCACTCCTTTATGTGCAGGATTAGTCCTCTCCACTGATCTGCTATGCTTTATGGAAATAATTAGATTATGAAATAAATCATCAGCTTTTATTCAGTGTAGCCATTATTTTGTTTTATGTCTTAAGCTCCAACAGTCAATAGAGGTATGTGTGTGTTCCGCCTTTTTGTTCCTGGAGTTTTCTTCTCTACTTTTTTGCTACCCTGAAACAACGTGGAAAAGAATAGCATCTGTGCAGGATTGAAAGAACCAAATGCTTCTCTCTTTGGCAGGAAGTCATTCCTTCTCTTAGTCCCGTGCTTGTCAGCCATGGGTACCAGGCGCTCTGTGCCCTCCTTGTGCACTCTGCTGACACCAAGTTAGTACAGTTGGCTGCTCCAGATCGAATCCAGTCATGCTCAGTTAATCTGAACAGACAAATGTTGATCTCTATCATGTGGGACAGTGTTTTGATGGTTAAGTGTTAGCACCCAGAAGCTTCTTATCAGTAGGTAATTCTCACGTCACTGGATTCACAAATCTCTGGCTGAGAGTTTCTCTGGTGTGTTTTAGCGGGTGCATGGCTGAGGTAAGATCTACATTATTGTTAATATGTAGGTAAAAGTCAAAAGCATGGAATACCCTCCTGGGCATAGCTGGAGTTGTCAGAGGTTTTATTTAAATGGGTTCCAAATGAACATGATGCATGGCATTTTCCTCATAAAGTGGCCTCTGATGTGATCGAAGGCATTGTTAAATGATAAAACTGATGTTTTGCCTTAGTTCCCCTGGGTGGAACAGAAGGCACCGGCTGCTCATCCTGTTGAGAAGCTCTTGAGTGAAGCCAGCTGCTGGTCCAGGTAGAAGATGCAGGTCCTAGCTCACCGCTTCTGTGTGAGGAAAGCAGCCCTCTCCCCAGATCCTCTTTGTCCTAGGCCTGGCCCAGATTCAGGCCTCATGGCTGACAAACCACCTAGTGGACACTGGGCCTGTGGCTCCTCCATTTGTGTCTTCCCCGTAGGAGTGCCTTATAGTACCATCTAGTGCTTCTCTCTAGTCTCTCTGACCCACTGGAAGCCTGTAGGACCCTTCAGCTAAAACAGATCCTTCCTTCTTTGCTGGCTACTCTTCATCCAGATGCACCTGAAGCCTACGTACTCTACAACACATGTCAAACCTTTCACCTTTGCTTAACCTGGTGCCTTAAACCCATGAGTAAAGGGATTCATGTTGGAAACACATTATTAAAGGTAGAGTGGTTCACACTTTGGCTTCTTATTGCCGTTGGCATTTTTACCAGGAAATACGAAGTGTGATTGAAAAATATGGTGAATGTTTAATTTTTTTAAATGTATTACAGTAAAAGATGCAATGTCAGTAATCCCCCTCAAAATACTCCACCTCACTTTGAACACACTTGTCTCACCATTCTTGCAACTTTCTGAAGCCATTCTGGACGTTCTTTTTCCTGAGATTAGTTGCACCATTATAGCTGCCTCTATTTCCTGAATTGATTCGAAACATTGACCTTTCATGGTCATCTTGTCTTTGACGAAGAGCTGGAAGTCACGTGGTAGTAGATCCTGTGAATGAGGTGGATGAGTGTACACCGTGATGTTTTTACAAGGCTGCCTTTCTGTTGGATGGTACTCAGCAGCAGCATGCACTGTTTTTGATCACCCCCTTATAAAAACACAAAAGAGGACATAGAACCGCTTCAGAAAGTAGCAAGAAGGATGGGAAAAGTGTGTTTAAAGTGACGGGGAGTATCATGAAGAAGATTACTGGCAATGATTTTTGGTTTTGGTTTTTTTGTTTTGTTTGTTTTTTTGCGACAAGGTCACACTGTGTAGTTCAGACTGGCCTTGAACTTACTATGTAGCCCAGACTGGCCTCAAACTCGTGGCAATCCTCTTGCCTTAGCCTCCCAAATGCTGACATTACAGGCTTCCACCACCACACCCAGTTTAGCAACGTAGTTTTTGCTGTAGTTAATTTTTAAAATTTAAACATTCACCATATATTTCAATCACATATGGTACAAAAGATACAACCACACAGTGTTTTAACTTTGTGTTATGCTGTTTCTTAATCACACTCTTCTTGCTTGCTTGCTTGCTAGCTTTCATTAACCAAACTCAGGGGATGTCATGATGTCACAAGGTCAGTGAGGAGAGAAATAAAGCCAGCTGTCCAGAATTCAGTCTGCAAACTCAATAAACTTAGTCTTCTTCAGGTTAAAAAAAAAAAGAATTTTCCTTTCCCTTACTGTATAAAGATTTTGTTTTCATTTTGTCACCTTTTTTTCCAAATGAAAAGTGGGAAGCTCCTGGGATACTTTCATGAAAATGTCCTCTGAGTGGCAGGGCTGTCAATGAGCTCTCAGACAAGGCTTTGGCTGTCTGAGGCCCTTGGCCTGGCTGCGGCATCTATTAGACTCTGATGGAATCTCAGTTGGCCTCCCAGAGAAGATTTAAGGGGGAAAAACTGCTTCCAAGGAAGGGTGAAAGGAAATGCCTAGGTTGCGAATGAAGAAGGTGAACGTGGAGATACAGAAGATTTCTATAGAACTTGTCAGGCTCCAGGGTCAGAGTCGTATCATTTTTCCTTACTTCTACTCATGCACTATAGAATTGACTAGAATTTTCCATTTAGGTTCTTGTATCACTCTGTGTTATGCTATTTGTAATAGCTTCTGTACTAATGTATACAGGTTATTTTTCTGTTTTCTGGATTTTATTTCTTTTTTTGACATAATTTATCCATCTTTTGTTTACATAATTTAAAAAATACCAGTAACTGTAATAATATGAAATGAAGTTGCATTGTTGACAAGACCTCTAGTCCTTATGATCATCTGTCACATAATTTAAGTGTATGCATTCCTGCTGTGTAAAGTTATCTCTCTCAATAAACAATGCAGAAAATACCTTCTCCTCTCATAGCAACTTCTTTAAAATACTGTTTTGGAGGGCGTGGTAAAAGGCTGATTGAGCACTGGATGTTAATTCAAAGTTCATATTTAAGGTCTATTGAAATTGAGCTACTAGTATTTTAAAACATCTCTTCATACTAACTTTGCAGATGGACTTTTTTTAAATTCATTAACCTACAGTATTCTTAACAGCTCCTCCCATGTTTATGAAAAGCACAACATAACCTGTAAAATATGCAGATGTACAGTTATGAGCCTCATTTGCTGAATCAAAGCACGATCATTTTCAGTTCTGAGACAGCCAAAGAGGCCTGGAATCTCCTAGCAAAGCTCTGTTCTCACTTCTTCCACAGTCTGCAAATTAAATAGGCAAGGGCCAAGCAGTCAGCACTAGGCAAAGGCCCTGGGCATCCCTGAGGACCATCCTGTGGGAGTAAGGAAGGAGCAGAGCGAAAAGTGAAGAGTAGGTCTTTATGCTCCAGATAGCAGCCCTCTGGGGGTTGAGAAGTGATTGGAAATTAGTACAACTATTTCCTGTGTGGGCTGGCCCTGCCCTTCCACCCCAAAGGACACAAGGTGAACAACTGTCTACTTGAAACCTTCCTAAAGCACCATTTAAACTCACTTTCCCAAGAAGGACATTGAAAAGAGACGAGAACAGGCACTTCTGGTAAACATTTACCAAAGGTGAACCCTGAGCCTTGCTCCCTGTGACACACCCGGGCTGGGTCATGCCCAGCCTCTCCCACCCCACCCTCAGGAAACCAGCCGGGCCTCACGCCCACTCAAGCCCAGGAGTAACTGGACTTCATCCTCACATGAGACCTGCCCTGGTCCACGATAAAAAGGAACAAGTTAATGTTTCACTGCACCAACTAGACACACAATGTAGTCAGAGCCCAGACTGAACTGATTCACAGGGACAGGTCAGCTTCGCCTTAGGTGTAGGAAGCTAGAGTGGCCAGGTAACTCCAGGAAGTTTGGGCACCATCAAAGCCAAGCCATGCTAAGATGTTGGCAGAGGCAGGAAGGAGACGCCATCTTGTTCATCGCTCCCCACCCTCAAGGTGGAGATTCCGATCTTTCTTGTCTTCCTATTCTGTCCTTTGATGGCGGCTCAGAAGATGCTTAAATCAGGGCTTCCCGTATTAGAAATGCAAAAATAAGAGCCAAATGTCGGGTCTCATCACAGACACTCGAATCAGAATCTCTCTGGATGGGGCCTCCCTGTTGTATTTTAAGGGCTGCCTGGATGTGGATTGCCATGTAGCTCGGCGGTGGAGCACTTGCCTGGCATGCATGGGTCCTGGAGTCTTACCCCAGGATCACCAAAAAAACCCACAAAAAAGAAAAAGCTTCCTAGGTGATTGCTTTGTACTCCTAAAATGAAGGCTCACTAAATGAAGACGTTGCCTCAGGGAAACACTGGCTTGGCTCATTAGTGGGCAACTGCGGACCGTTTCAAAGGGATATGGAGGGAGTGAACGGCCCCCCTTTCTCTCAGTAGACACGAGAGTACCTTGGAACTCGCTGCTCACAGACTACCATCATTTTCATAAGACCCTACCTTCATACTCTATTTTCTTCCAGGGTGTGGTTAGCCTCTATTTATCTACAAACCATCTCCAGAGAGCCTGATAAATAGAAGTACCGAGGGGCTGGGGATTTAGCTCAGCGGCAAAAAGCGCCTGCCTGGCAAGCGCAAGGTCGTGAGTTCGGTTCCCGGTACCGGAGAAAAACCCAAAAAAAAAAAAAAAATAGAAGTACCGTAGCTGCAGGTGACTAAGGCGACCTAACAAAGTGAGCCTCAGACCCTCCTTTGCGTTTTTTTATCATTCCTTCTGGTTGTTCTGTGATCTCTCTTTGGGTGCATGCATGCTAGTTTGCTCCGAGTCCAGGCCTTCCCGTGAACATGAACCTCACCGCTCTGGAAGGTGGTGTTTAAAATGGAAAATCATCAGGCGCCTTTTGCACAGAAAACCTCAGAAAGTTCAAGAAATGTCAACCTGGATCCAGACTCCCCCTAGTTCCAGAAAAGAACCAGGTGTTAAAATGAAGCAGAGTCCTGCCAAAACCAGGCACCTGTTGAACTGATGGTTTTCAATTTCAACTGCCAGTTACGGGTAACTTAGACAGGAGTTCTTGCCTCCTCTTCCCTCTATGAAGTCAGTAACTTAACAAGTGTCTCTCGTTGGTGGGGTACTCCAAAAGAGTCCAGAGTCTCTGATCAAAAATGGGAGCCAGGCCCACACGGGAAAAAACAGCAGTACCAACCTGATTCTGAATCACCTTAGGAAGCAGGTGCCTTGGGCCAGGAATACAGCTAGGAATGAATTTGGGTCTGCTAGGTTCTTCCCTAGGACTTCTTCCAAAGCCACAGCATTAGAAACCACATTCCCAATTGGGGAAGAAAAAAGTTTTCAATTTCTTTCATTAGGCTGGACGTGATGGCACACACCTGTAATCCCAGCACTCGGAAGGCTGAGGCAGGAGGATTGCTGTGAGTTCGAGGCCAGCCTGAGCTACAAAGTGAGTTGAAGGCCAACATCAACTGCATGGTGGCACCCTGTCTCAAAAAGACAGAAAAAAAAAAAAACTAAATTTCTTTTATTGGATTAGATTTTGATGAAGGTAGAGGGTCCCTCCCCCAGTATAAAAAAATTATCTGATATGTAATACCCAGGAAACATGCCCAACAGAAAAATATAGTTCATTCTCTCGCTCCACCTATTCTCTCAAGGCTGGACAGAAAAGTCTAGCCAGAAGAACAAATGGTTCCCATAACTGAGCATACAAAGTCCTCATTTATGTGCACTGACATTCAATTTACCTGGACAACAGGGAAATTCATTACTCCTCCACCTTTATTTCATATTCCTCTATTAAAAGCTATTGGTTTTAAGCAAATCAGCTAGAGTTCATGAGT